CGCGGCACCTCTGACATGTGCGCGGCGTGACAGAGTACGGACGGGCAGCTTGGGCAACACACGTATCCTTATCCAGGCAGCTATTAGGGCAGGTATCTCACCCTATAAAAAGGGGATGAGCATTTCTTCCTTAACACATTCTATTCATTCTCTAAATTCCAGTATACTCATACACATACTGACTTAAGCATCGGAGGCTCTTCACCGGATCCAAACACCGGTGTGAGAGTTATTTGCAGGTTCTCGGCGTTCTACCGGCAAGGACAATAATCGATCTACTCCAAACCGGACCCGGACGCTTACACTTGCATTATAGTTAAACATAAAACTGCAAACCAAATATTTCTAATCAAAGAGAAAAAACAAGAAAAAAAAACTCTTCATTACTTCATTTCTCTTGAATATTCCAACGGTTCTTTTCCGCACACAAATTATGACATTGTGATTATTATAATAGAATTTAATCATGTGTACATACACAAATTAAATAAAAAAAAAATGTATATATTATATGTGTGTGTATGTAATAATTAAATATTATATGTGTATGTATGTAATAATTAAAATTATAAATTAGATAATAAGTACTTTATAAACTTTATGATTAGTAAAAAATGAACGAGATAACATAAACTATTTAACTTATATATTAATATTAATATTGATTGCTGTAATGTACTTTTTGCCTGATTCGGACCGATCATTAGATAAAATAATATTACAATTATCAATAAAGTAATTGTGTACCGAATTTAAAGGGTTTGGTTATGTCATAAAAATTCATTGACCAACTTAATAAAAATTTCTTAATGAGTTGAAAAAAAAATTAAATAAATAGTTTTAAACATGAGCGAATGCAGACTTGCAAGACTGAGGGGCACAAACGTAATCTTTCTAAAGTGAAAAAAGTGATATTTATTCTCTGTGTATTCTTATATATTATATCAATCATAATTGCATAAGTTCAAACTTCATTAAATATATCATTTTCAAATACGAACATCTTTTTCTTTTTTTTTTTTCTTTTACATTGGAGATTCTTACAATGTCAGCATTCCTTGACTTCTTTATAGTAAAGATAAATATTTTAGTTAAAAAATCAACGACAAACACAATTTAGTAGCTAACTTTAAACTTATAATTATAATTTTAAGAACACCCAAAAATTCAAATATTCAGTATGTATCAAAATCAATGTTGACTTTTGTGGAAAATCGATGTAACTTATTTACATATTGCTTACAACATAATGCAAATACAAAAAAAAAATCTATTTATAACAATTTTACAATATAATTATATATGTACTAATTTTTTGAAAAGAAATTGCACTGGGGCCCGTGCCTCCCCTTAAGTCCGCCCTGGTTTAAAAAAAAAAGGTTTTAGACTATAACATTTAGTGTGACTTTATATAACTATTCAGTAGTAAGTAATAACTATTATATAATAAATAATAATAAATATAATTATTCAATTAATGCCAAATATAATGGAAAATTTCAATATAACTAAAATAGTTGTCATAAATTAGTTTATAGATGTCACGTACCAGACTGCCAAGAAGCCCGTCTAGCTCAGTTGGTAGAGCGCAAGGCTCTTAACCTTGTGGTCGTGGGTTCGAGCCCCACGGTGGGCGTCTTTTTTCATTTTTTTTATTTGTAAGATCTATAACAACATTTGTAACAAACGAGAAGAATTGTTTTAGGACAACCATAATCGGCTGGAATCCCAAAAAGCACGCTGGGACGCCATTTTTGATCTCTTGTTTAACCTTGTTCTCTTCTCCTCCTCAATCCTCTTCTTTCTCAACTACCCACAAACAATTATCCATCCTCACTTTTTCCTGTAACCTTGTCCATCCTCTGCCGGCGGATACCCAACCGACGTCGTACCGAGGAGCCTCGTCCGTTGTTGTTGTGGTTTACAACTAGGTCGTTGGTTGTGTGTTCGTACATCGAATGGCCGCGGCGGCTTTACGGCTGGCGGCGCGGTTACCCGGCCCGAACCGGTTGGGTTCGAGGTCCATCTCCGAGCTCGCGAAACCCAGTGGCAAACGCCTCTTTCTCGTCGACACTTTAGCCCTTGTAATCTTTAACCTTGATTTCTCTTCCCTTTTTTTTTGATTGATTATATTTTTTCTCTTTTCTTTTTCTTTTTTTTTTTTTTTTTTTTTTTTTTTGTTTTTTTCAGGTTAGGAGATTAGAGGCGCAAGGGGTGCCGTCGAAGCAGGCGGAGGCGATAACTGGAGCAATGACGGAAGTCTTGAACGATAGCTTGGACAATGCTTCCTTTTGGTTTGTTTCCAAAGGTGAAATGCAAAGAGTAAGCTGTGTTTTTTTCTTGTTGTTAATTAAATTTACTTTTGTTTGATTTGTTGATAAACAATTTTAATTTTGGGAAATGCTGCGGTCCCGTTAAGTTACCATCCCGTCGGGTGTTTTAACCGTTGAATCCACGTGTAGTTAGATAAGATAGATTATCCAACGGTTAAAACACCCGACGGGATGGTACCGTAGCATTTCCCAAAGATTTTAATGAAATGTGTCTTTTTTTGTGAAGAATGAGATGACGCAGGAATCCATTTTGTCCAAATTCAAGACTGAAGTTAAAAGTTCCCAGGTACCTGAAAGAATGTCATTTCAAATTTTAATAAATATAAAGCTTTGATCTTTTGTTCTGAAAGAACTCATTTTTTGTAGTAGATTGTGACCATGCTTCTCCTAAGTTTGATGTTAAGATTGTTTTATGGAGTCGTGTGAATGGATTTGAGATTATATCGGGGCTCATTTTATGTTAGTTGTGTTATTGTACATTGCTATTTATCGTTCAAAATTATTATGAAAGAATTATTTTTTCATTTGCATTCCGTGTTTTAACAAAAATCACAATAATTTCTTGCTCGACTGTGGTATATCCGTCAAGTACGGTGTATATATTATTTGATTGAACTTGTGTTTAAATTTCCATTGTTTCTAATTTGAAGGAACTAAATAGTGGTTCTGTTATTGTCTGATTTGATATCAGTTTGGTCTTATACCGGGGTTTATAATGTGGCCTTTGATAAATGTAAGACAAAAGAAAATTGGTCAAAGTCGTGATTCTCTTCTATGCTCCTGATTACACAAACACTCTTTTACTCGAGAACGAGTAATAATGATGGACTTGGATGCTTAACTATGGGCAAGCTATTGTCGGATGTGATCTTCCTTTCAGAAACATGACCATTTAACTTATTTTCATAATACAGTGAGACCTCATATAAAGTGTCAATATCAAATTTGTGAACTCTGCCTTGTTATATGTATTCATTGATTTTTGTTTGTCTTGCTCGCCACTTTGCTTGAATTGAAGAGACAAGTTGTTCTGCTTCAAATCTGTTTTGATATGCATATTTTTCATTTGTGAACAATATGTTTGAGCACTCAAAGTGTGGCAAAACTCGTACGGTGAGCTAATTCCAATTGATTCAAATGCAGGACAACCATCTTTCTCTTTTGCAGCGTGAGACTGAGAAACTGAAGGGTGATATAGAGAAGATGATGGAAAAACTCAAGAGTGATCTAGAGAAGATGCGTAGTGAATTAAGGTGTCGATAATGAATGAACTAAATGAATGTGAAACTCTTTTTTATTTTGTTTTATTATTATTATTTTTTATAGTTTAGTTTTTATTTAACGTGGGATGGCAAAGCAATCATTATAAATTTTGTTTCAGCTATGAGATAGACAAAGTTACAGCCGGCCACCGTCTGGATCTTAATCTTGAAAGAGGGTATGCTTTCTTTCTGGCATAATACTGAGATAGACAAATTTTCTTTCTCATTTTATTTATTGAAAAAATCTGCCTCTTCTTCGTGCAGGAGAATCCGGGATGAGCTGAACAATCAAAATCAAGAAACAACCAACCTAACTAACAAACTCGATCGAGTGAGTATCTTATATTTGTGTCGTGTCAGAAGTTGATAATCTGTTAATACAGACAAAATATGTTTGGTGTGTTGTTTTTTTAGGAAGATCGTTTGTTTCCCTTGGAACCGAATGATAGTTGATAATCGTGACATTTTGTGCGATTTTAGGAGATTCATGCATTGCGTGCTCAAATAGAAGCAGCAAAGTATGATGTGATCAAATACTGCATAGGTTCACTAGCATCTGTGGCTGCCGTTGGTCTAGCTGTAATTCGTATTTTTTTTTTTTTTTTTAGATTTAAAATCCTTTGCTAGGGCTGGCTAGCAAACATTGTTGTAGCCTTTGGTTGAAGCTTGGGATGTAATAGGGTTATTTTTTTTTTTCTTTTTTCTTTTTTTTTTTGGGGTTAATGTAATTAGATTATTTAAATCTAATGATAAAGTTTAAGTGATTTATGATGATGGATGTCATAGGGCATTTGGATCAATATATATGGAGTTTGTGGTGAACCATTTTAGTTCATTCCTCAAGCTTCATCATATCAAGAGTTGGATCAAATCATATGTAATATAAGCAAATAAATATAGAATCATACAATTAATCAATCTAAAACATTAATTTATTAATTTTTTTGTGAAGTTGATCTTGATTCGATATTCACTATTCACTATTCATTTACTCACATATTTTTAACTATAGGGCTTTTAATATTTTTCCTACTTTTACATTATATCAGTTAACCATTACATTTTTAAATATTATTTAATTACAATTTTTCTTATCACACTCAATCAATTTTATTCAAAATAATTCATATTAACTCATGATTCAATTTTGAGCGATTTATTAACTGATTATGATTGTTTACCAAGCAAGCACGAACTAGACTTAGGTTCAAGATCTTGTGAGTATTTGACTAGAAACCGAACTACACTTAGGTTCAAGATCTTGTGAGTATTTGACTAGTTTCTAGGATTTAGGTTTGAATTTATTTATCGTTATTGCAAACCCAAAATTTTGCCAATAGATCTCTGGATGAATCATCGCATGGTTCCACATTGAACCGACCCTGATACCATGTAAGAAACGAGTGGAAAAATGAGTTCTGTTACACGTTGATAAAATGCTCTAAGACCGAAAAGCCCATCTAGCCCTACAAGAAACGGGTTGGGTAACAAGTACGTCATCGCACGGTTCCACATAGAACCGACCTTAATACCATGTAAGAAATGGTGGAAAAATGAGTGCGGTCCCACGCTGATGAAACGCACTAAGACATGGAAAGCCCAGATGAGGCCCAGGTGAAGTTCCAGCCCAAAACTAATTGGTGGTAGGAGGAGTAACCCAGTAGACTTATAAATCAGATCTATTTTCTCTATATAACGGATATGCGACAACTATGAATATTCTAATATTCATAGATATATTTTTTTTGGATATAAAAAAATTATTTTTTAAAAAAAAAATAGATATATAAAAATATTATAAAAAGTAAATATTTTTTTTGGATATAAAAAAAAGATATATATTTTTTTTTTAATTCTCAAACAAAAATATTATTATATTTACTAATATTATCTTTTTCAATTTTTTCGACTCATTGCTTTACTATAAACTTTTAAGTTAAAGAAAAAGTAACATTGCAAATTTCCTATAATTATATTATTCATTCCTCTGATATATTATTCATACGTTCCTATATTTATATTTATAATATAATTTTAATATATTAATTCTCATAGTTATTCTTTGCAAAACTTCACTTCACCACATTCACCGACCAAACATTCAAATCCTATTCCATCTCCACACTTAAGCACCGCGACGGTGGCCGACCACCACCGCGGCGACTTCAATAAAGCGGGCACAACAGCCTGGGGCTGGGCACCGCCGTCAGCCTGGTGGCGCATGGCGCCGTGAGCCCAAACACATCCCCCATGTCCAGGTCCCCAGGCCTCATCCCGTCCGGCAGCTCCCAATCGAAGCAGTGGAGCAGGTGCGCCACCGCCATCTCCAGCGCGTACAGCCCGAGCTGCATCCCGGGGCACGACCTACGCCCCGACCCGAACGGTATGAACTCGAAATCGCTCCCCCTGAAATCGGGCGCGCCGCCCACCAGGAACCGCGCCGGCTTGAACGACTCCGCGTCCTCCCACGCGCTCTCATCACGTGCGATCGCCCACGCGTT